GAGTCCTGGACCTGGTGACTTGCTTTCTCATTGTCCCTTTCTCTGTATCTCTCTGGTCAAATTGAAAAATAATAGTAATAATAATAACAAATAAAATAATCCTAAGTAAAAGTGCATCCTTATTTGCTGACTACAAAGAAAGTATACTGCTAATTAGACTAAGACACAGTGGTTTCTTATCACTTATGATTTTCATTTCATTTATTTAATACAATATTTTATGTATTGAAATGCCCTTTAGACTTATTTAAACATAGTTTTATTTTATATTATTTTCTGCATACATATAAAGGAAATATAAGCAAATAAAATTAAACTATTCTAAAAATTATGCAGGCAGTAAAATATTAAGACTGCTAGGCCTACAGCAGTTAGTCGAAAGGTGACAGTGTCTGTAAGGCACTGATGGATTCTTTTTCTTTTTTAGGGAGATTTTTGCTATAAAGTGCATGCACTCACCAGAGAGACAAAGAAAGAGAGACAGAAAGCAAGAAATCACCCCCCTGGGGGAGGGGTAGCCACGCTGCAATCCCTTCTCCTTCATTCTCCTCTTGGGATTTTGGGCACACGCACATGCACCCAGAGTTAATTTTAAGCTGTCAGGTCCAGGATTTGAACTGTGGTTGGCTACATGGGAGTCCAGTGACATAACAATTATGCCATCTGCTGGTCCCAGTGCTTGGGAATAAATTTTTAAAAATAAAATAAAATAAATTTAAAAAATTATTCATTTATTTAATTCCATTTGTTATTATTATTAATTTTTAATTTGACCAGAGAGAGAGAGAGAGACAGGGAAAGTGAGAAAGCAAGCCACCAGGACCAGGATTCAAACCATGGTCAGCCATGTGGGAATCCAGCACCTTTAACCACCACACCACCTACTGGCCCCTCCAATACTTACTTTTTTTTTTTTTTTGGAGAGTTTTTTTGTTGTTGTTTGTTTGTTTGTTTTGCTATAGGGCGCATGTGCTCACCAGAAAGACAGAGAGAGACAGAGAGACAGAAAACGAGAAATCACCCCCAGGGGGAATGGCCATGCCACAATCCCTTTTCCTCCATTCTCCTCTCGGGATCTTGGGCACACATGCACATGTGCCCAGTGTGAGTTTAAGCCACCGGGTCTGGGACTCGAACCGCGATCGACTATGTGGGAGTCCAGTGACATAGCCATTACGTTAACTGCTGGTCCCCAGTGCTTACTGTTTAAACAGGTCATTTGAAAACAAAAATTATTTTTCCAT